ACATATTCCCATTGGTCCCTTTCTGCTGGCCCTGTTCCAACTTTTGCATTTGTCTTTAGCTCTTGAGACATGGTTTCATTTAGAACACTTTGTTGCAATTTGAGTACTTCTTTAAAATTTTGAATCTTACTCATCGTTGCTCACAAAAAGAAATCTAGGAATATGTTTTCATTTCAATAGAATTTCGTTAACTTTAGCATAGTACTAATAGAATTTATTAACTCAAAAGTTACTGGGCATCCAGTACATCCTTATTCACACTCAGTGCTCTCTGCCTCCAAAACCAGAGTTCATAATTCACATGATCACTTCATTTCTCCCTGTGGAAATTGAGTTTGCTCTGCATTAAACAAGAAAATGGCTTCTAGGTGGGCAGTGAAAATAGAGGCAGGAATGTAGATGTGGTAAAGATCTATCTTAGTGATGAGAAGAAAGAAAGGTCTCCAACATTTCAAACACAGAAAGACAAATATTTATGTTTGTGGCTGAGGCATACCTGATACATAGATTTAGTGGCCTTTATTTTTATTGAGACAAAATTTAAGGGAGAAGTTAAAAGAAGGGAGATAATTTTTCAAAAGGGCTTATAAATGACAATGAAAAAGAAGGCTTATTGCCCAGACCCAGAATTCGTCTGTTATGAAGTATGGAGGGGAGTAGTGTGAATATACATGTTTATGAAATGTAGGCTGACTTCAGAGACCAATGCAGAACAGCCACAGCCAATTGCATTCTTCAGAGAATAGCATCATTTCCTGGTCCAGTGTCTGAATTCTGTAACCACAAGAGTTTGTCTGGGTGTCTTAGTTAGGGTTTCTATTGCTGTGAAAAGACACCATGACCACAGCAACTCTTATAAAGAAAAAACATTTAATTGAGGTTGGCTTAAAGATTCAGAGGTTTATTCCATTATCATCATGGTGGGAAGCATGGTGGCATGCAGGCAGACATGGTGCTAGAGAAGGAGCTGAGAGTTCTACATCTGGATCTGTAGGTAGCAGGGAGAGAGAGAGAGAGAGAGAGAGAGAGATTGAGAGAGAGAGAGAGATTGAGAAAGACTGGGCCTGGCTTGAGCCAGTGACATATTTCCTCCAACAAAGCCACACTGACTCCAATAAGGCCTCATCTCCTAAGCCCTATCAAGTAGGGCCACTTTCTAATGACCAAACATTCAAACCCATAAGTCTTTTGGGGCTATACTTATTCAAACAACACACCAGGTGAAATTTTATCTATATCTTTCTGTATCTACAGGTACAACTGTATTTGTATCTATATATCTATATCTATTCAGTTATAGCTAGCTATAAAACTCAGGCAGGTGTTGTTGGGAAGAAGCCAAGAGTTTAAAGGTGTGCATTGCTACATATTTTGAGGACAAAAGAGAAAAAAAGGAGGAAGTGGCTAAATGAATAATCTTTTTTGCGGGGGGGGGGGGGAGGGCAGGAAACAGTGAAAGAAAATTACAGTCTCCTTTGGAAGTTCAGATAGAAAACAAGATGTTTTGACTGTTAATGAAGATTTTCATCAACATACTCAATGGGCTTTTCACTCCATTGCATTCTCCGCCTCTTAATGCTTCTTGTCTGCACACAAGAATCAGGTAACTCTTTATTTTCTTTTACAGATGTTTAGCTGGAAGTTAATGGCGAATAAACTCCAGGTTACAGGCCATTTACTTTTATCGCAGTAGGTAAAGAGGGATGTATGATGGGTTCTGTGTATTAATAATCATACACCCGTATACCCACATAGCTGACAAATCATTTAATGTGGGCATAATCGAAACAATGACTACAGAAAGTGGGAAGGAAAGGTCAGAATGAAGGCAAGCATACAGGTTCTGAGGCATGCACAACTTGCTCAAATGAGATAGTTTCCTGTATGTTTGTTTTATGTAAATATAAAGGTGGCCGACCAGCTAGATGCAAAGGATCTCCTCACAAAATCTGTTTTTATTTTGTTTTGCTTTGTTGTTATTTGCTTTCTTTAAATTATTCTCATGTTCACAGTCAAGCAGCATATATAGCTTTTAATTTTGAGGTTGAGTTGTTTTGAAGCTTTTCTTGATCATTAAGAGTTTCTCCTAAGTAGGCAAGCCTATACATAATTTGCTTTATGGATTTGTCTATCATTGCAAGCTGACCTAATTTAAAAATTCAACAAGTATTTTCTTATTACTTTCTGATCATTATGAATGATTGAATTATCAGCATTTGATCCATCCGTTTTTGGTTTTGTTTTTTGTTTTTTACATTAAGGTAATAACTAGTTTTCTTTAAGAATTTGGGTGAAGGGTCTAGAGACATGGCTTAGTAGTTAAGAGTGTACAGTACTGTATTGGAGGACCCAGGTTCTGTTCCAATAACCTACACAAGGAGGCTCACAAACACCTGTAAATCCAGCTCCAGGGGATCCAAAGATTTCCTCTATCTTCTGTGAGTACATGCACTCAAAGGCACATATACCATACCACAGGCATACTTAAAAAACTAGAATAAATCTTTAAAAAAATAATTGAGAAGAGGAAGCAAAAAATATGATAAATTCAAAATAGGGTTAGGTTTAATGATTGAGCTTCTGCTTAGCAAGAGTTGAGTCCTGGGTTTAATTCCTAGCCAAATAAGAATAATGAGTAACTAACTAAAATGCATAAGGAGGAATTCTTCTCTGAGGAAGTAGCTCATACAGTAAAGGAGAAGATAATCTGGGAGCAAATGATAAGGAGGAGCAAAGCAGTACAGATGCTGTTGTGGAGTTATTGACTGACAACTTGGTTGTTACTCTTTTTGTGTTGCTAGTTTGAGTTTTCGTGAGTATTATTCAATCCTTCCCTGAAGGCAGGGACCAAACTACCTGTGAAAACTAAAATGTTGGTGACTTTTAACTGTCAAATGACCTGGTGTTCTCATTTTATTCAACACTGTGAGTCAGGTAATGTTAAGCCTGTTATGGAGATGAAAGTCCTGAGGTGCTGGAGAGTAAAATGTTGCAAGAAGACCACAGTCCTGCCAGTCATCCTCGGGAAAGCATGAGAACAGAACTGACTGGTGAACACAGTGTTTCTCTAAACAATAAACCTGCCTCATGCGTTTGAGAGGTTTGTGATGCTGTGGGCACAGTTTAGACCCACCACATTTATTCTGAAAAATATTTGAAAAAATATTGCTTGTAATTTGATATTGGAAATGAAATGAATGAGTGAAAAATGAATGACATCATATGAGAATGGTGGACCAAACTGTGTGGTTGTGTTTTTAAACCTCATATTTAAATAAAGCACACACTGGAGAAAATTGATAACATTTCACAGCAGTGTTCAGACTTCTTAACTTTTACTCTCCATATCCTCACATTATGGGTTTATTTTATCAGTTGCTGTCTTTAAAAAAAGCATACATGACCACTTAGCATCTATTCAATTTTTTCTGGTTTCTTTATATATTGGTAGGATTTGTTAACATTTTTAGGTGAAATGTAGTTTATTAAATTTCATTGGTGAATGAATTCCTTTATGTAGTACTATAATTCATTTATACAACTTTTAAAAAGATTTACTTCTATTTTATGTGTATGAGTACTCTATCCACCTTATGCCAGAAGAGGGCATCAGATCCCATTATAGATGGTTGTGAGACACCTTGTCAGTGTTGGGAATTGAACTCAGAACCTCTGGAAGAGCACTCAGTGCTCTTAACTGCTGAGCCAATTTTTTGTTTTGTTTTGTTTTTTGTTTTTTTCTTATTTTTTGAGAAGGTTTCTCTGTGTAACCCTGGTTGTCCTGGAACTCACTTCGTAGACCAAATCTTGAACTCAGAGATCCACCTGCCTCTGTCTCCCAAGTGCTGGGATTAAAGGCATGTGCCACTACATCCAGCCCAACTTTTGCTTTGTAATATACTATTTTTATTAATTGTTTGAGAATTTCATATAATGTATTTTGATCATATTCACCTGCAGAAGAAAATGAGGTCAACGTGCTCACAGATAAGCACTAGAGAAACCAGAACTGTTAAGCATGCATAATTTCTTCTTCACGGGAAGAAATCTACACCTATTCATCCAGAAGCTAGAGTGGATGTTTTCTAATAACCTGGTGATCTTTTGCTATTCTATGGATTCAGCCTTCACCTGAATTCTCAAAATCCTGAGCATTGTATATTAGTCAATAGAACCTATCCTTATGAAAGGGATTCCCATGCAAAAGAGGTTTCTATTATGCTTATTACGAGCCCTTCCTCCCTAGGCTTAGACTCCTGAGCACTGTTTCTCAGTCAATAGCACCCATTCCTGTGAAAAAGGTCACAAGTGCTTTGCTAAAGAGATGCATTTTGCTAAGGAGTTTTGATGTAGCCATGCCTAAAGCTTTGTTGTGTTAATTGTCATGTGGTAACTTTCCCCCAAAGCTCTACTGTGTTTAAATATCAAAAAAATATTAACCCACTTTGCATCAGACTCCAGAAGTTTTGGCCCAGTGCTGGCTAACTAAAGTCAAGCTGAACCCAGTTCTCATTCTTACCTCACCCAAATCGTTGCCCAGCCAGCTGTGACCCTTGCAGAGACCCCCACATTTATCCCCCACTCTTCCTCTGACTCCTCTCAGATCCACCCTCACCTCCCCACTGCAACTTCATGTCCTTAAAAAAAATAACCTACTGAGTCTAATATGTTCTGCCCTTATATACCCATGAGTGGAGGTCCATCCCCTGCCGTGTGGCATGAAATATATTCCTCCTTTGCCATTTGGTTTTGATCATGACAAATAATTCCTATGAACATCTTTGTTCATGTTTTTGGAGAATACATGCATTAGCTTCTATTAGGTGTATGGTAGGGGTAGACTTGCTACTTATAGGGTATGCTTAAGCTCAGGGATAAGATAGCCCCAAGTTTTCCACTTAGCACCCAACAGAATTTACACTCCCTTCAGCATTGTTGGTGAGGTGCATTGTTTCTGCAAATTCTTAATCAAATTTGACATTGTTTGCCTTTCATTTTAGACAAGTGGTGTATATGTTGTCCTCAGTTTACCCTGTATTTCCTTGATGACCAGGTTGAGCACCTTAGTCCAAGAACTATCCAGCCAGATGTAGAATAATTCATGACTTAAGGTACATATGTACACATATATATTATGATACAAGCTCAGCACATATATATGTAAGCAAAGTCATATATATATATAAAACTTTGCTTAACACATAGGTATACATTCATATATGTGCTAAGCAAAGTTGTATACATAATATATAATATAATATATATGTTGGGTATTTTATAATTCTTAATTTTTACCCCTAATAAGTATTTACTAGGTAACATGTGCCGGAAACCCTTTTAGAAACTAGATACTCAATATTAAAGAACATACTGTAGTTCGTTCTCTCTCTCTCTCTCTCTGTTCTGAGGATCAAATGTAGGACCTTGCATGTGACTGGCAACCATCTACTACTGATAATGGACATAGGTTACAGCTCCAGACTTTTTATTTTTATTGAGACACAGTCTCACTATGTATCATAGGTTGCTCTTGAATGCACTATCCCTTTTCCTCCATTTGGAGTGCATCATTTTTTATTGTGTAGAAGAGACAAATAAAATGGTAATCATAAGGCAAATAGAAGTGCTATTAGGAACACCGTGGTAGTATGGATATGTATTTCCCTTAACACTGGACCTCATTTTCAGAGTATTCGCAGAAAATAAAGCATAAGAATTATGAAACAGCTGTCCTGGGAAGAAACGTGACCATCTTCTGCAACTTGACAAGTCTGGCAAATGTTCTACAAGTTACCTGGCAAAAAATTCAAGGCTCTTTGCTTCAAAATATCGGTACTTACAGTCATAAATATGGAGAAAATATTCTCCCCCCGTATATAAACAGGCTGCACTGCAAGATCCTGGAACCCAATGCCTCCTTCATAACTATCCAAGGAGTGACATTTGAGGATGAAGCCTGCTACAAGTGTCTGTTCAACACCTTTCCACATGGCAGCCATGGAGAACAAACCTGCCTGAACATTCTAAGTATATAACCCTTTCTCTAGGGTCCTGCAATGGGGGTAGACAGTGTTGAGTTATAGTGTTTAAGGACATTGTCCAGAGAAAGGAAGTTAGATGTTGAAAAACTGATGTTGATGAGTCCAAGTTACTTAGAGGAGAAAATGATGGAGGCCAATGGAGATTGTGTGCTGAGGCAGAATCTTCTTCCATCTCATATCACTTCTTTACATTACACTGCACTGGTTTCCAGTAAGTGGAGAAAACCCAGGAAGAGTATCAGAATTTTGTTACTAAGGCAAGGAGAAGATATTAGAAAAGAGATATCAGGGAAGAGCAAGGAATTAGGGTTCCCCTGTCTTCGAATAACCAATATGTCCCAGTAGTAGTGAGAACACCACAGTTCTTTATTGTGCTGCTCTAAGTGTGAAGTGCTGGGGGTGTGTAATATAATTTATAGATGCATGGAAGTTGAGACAGCAGTCAGTGAACAGAATAAAAGGTATTGGAAGTTTTATGACATGTGAGAGGAGGTATCCAAGAGGGATATGTTTTCAGCATTTGTGTGTCATATGAAAATTTGGGGGAAAGTCATTAACAGCAGAGCATTTGGTATGACATACCATTGTATAAATTTTGTTTCCCTTCTTTGCCTCAGTCGTACCTGAATTAATAATAACTGAACTCTATCCTGTTAATGGCTCTGAAGATCTCCTCAACCTTCATTGTTCAGCTGTGGGAAAGCCTGCTCCTCGCATCTCCATTTACCCTTCACAAGCCCTAGTGCCCACACAAGAAGAATACTTTACTAAGAACCCAAATACCACAGTGACCGTCACTAAAATACACAACGTCTCTTTGAAAACTGTGAGGTCCTTGGGCCTCCGGCACCTGGTTGTGTCCATGACTCACCCTCTAAGAAGCGAAGAAAAGATAGTTCCTCTGCCAGTAAATCAAGAAGGTAAGTAGAAGTGACAGTGGATCAAAGAGGTCAGCTGGAACTGGGAAAACAGCTTAGTCTGTAAAATGCTTGCCATGAGACCATGGAAACCCAAGTTTTAACCCAGCACCACCATAAAAAGCCAGGAATGGCTGTGTGTCCTTGTGATCACAGTGCTGGAGAGACAAGGAAGCCAAATCCCTGGGACTCACTGAGAAAAATGAAATAAAGCTAACAAAAACACAAGTTAGACCAGCTCTTCTGGTTGATCCCTGGCTTCCAGTACACTCATTTACACACACACACACACACACACACACACACACACACACACACACACACACACTCAAATGCACATATAGGAGTTCAGACATGTACACACGCAAGCATGCACTTACAAAGTGCACGGGCATGCACATACATAAGAAAGAATGAGAGAGGAGATATATTTATCTTTTAAAAAAATCCATAATGAAAAGTATTCATATTAATCAGCTATTTTTGGAGAAGTAAACCAATATAATGTACACAGATGATTAAGCAATCAAGCAATGAAGCCGGGCATAGTAGCACACACCTTTAATCCCATCACTTGGGAGATATGAGGATCTCTGTGAGTTCAGGGCTAGCTTGGTCTACATAATGAGTTCCAGGACAGCCAGAACTATATAATGGGACCCTGACCCAGAAAAAAATCGAGCAATGCTGACAGTCATCATGACCCCCACTCCCCACCCCTGCAGCAGGGTTCCTAACAGAAACAATTTTCTTACTTTATTTTTTTTATCATTCATAGTTTTTTTCCTTTATTTGAAGTTTGCCCATAGTCTTTTATATTTTTTGTCACACACTGTCTTTATTTTTTTTTAACTTTTTCATAACACTTTAATTCATGTTATGTTGTTTTTGTTCTTTTCATCAATTTGGGGACGGCCATTGGCTTTTCCTTGTTTTAAAATTTTATTTTATTTTAAATTAACAAATTTATTTATTATTCTCATATTACATCCCATCCAGAGTTTCCATTCCCTCCTCTCCTCCAAGTCTCTTCTTCCCAAATCCCCTCTTTTCCCGGATCCACTCTTCCTGTTTCCCTTTAGAAAAGAGCAGGACTCCCAGGGATGTCAACCAAACACGTCATAATAAGATACAATAAGACTAGGCACAAACCATCCTATCAAGGCTGAATGAAACAACCCAGTAGGAGGAAAGGTTCCCCCATACAGTCAAAAGAGAGACAGTCCCTGCTCCCACTGTTAGGAGTCCGACAAGAACACCAAGCTACACAACCATAACATATCTGCAGCAGACCTGGGTTAGAGTCACACAGGCTCCCTGATTGTTACTCCAGTCTCTGTGAGCCTCTGTGAGACCTGGGTAGTTGTGTTCTTCTGACCCCTCTGGCTCCTACAATCCTTCCTATCCCCTCTTCCCTTCTGAGAGATTCCCAGAACTCCGCCTAATGTTTAGCTGTGGGTCTCTGCATCTGATCCTATCAGTTGCTGAATGAATCCTCTCTGAGGACTGTAGGCTCCAGTCTTCAAGTGTAGGAGAACATCATTAGGAATCATTTCATATACTGTGCTAGATAGCATTATGACATTTTCAAACAAAGTGAATTTTTGTGGTTTCCCTTCCTCCCGTTTTCCCCATGTCCTTGCTACCCCATCCCTCCTGCCTTAGAGTCTCCCACTCCCGGTTGATTTTCCTCTTCCGTGACTCCTGTGTCCACGCCCTTGATCCTAGCTCATCACCTAATACTATTACTCTCTCTCAGTCTCCTTTCCAGATTGTTTTAGATTTTACACACACACACACACACACACACACACACACACACACACACACACAACTACAATCCACATAGGAGGCAAAACCTACGAGTTCTGCCATTCTGAGTTTGATTTCTTCTTGCTTAGTGTTCATGCATTGCAGACCTATCAATTTTTCTACAAATGTCATGATTTTATTTTTATTTACAACTGAATAATATTACATTATATGTATATACCATGTTTTTATTAGTCATTCATGGTGGACATCTAGGCTGTGAATATTGCAGCAGTAAGCATGGATGTTCAAGTGCTTCTATGGTAGAATCTGGAGTCCTTGGGGTATATACCTAGGAGCATACAGCTAAATCATTTAGCTATTCTCTTTTTAATTTCTAGTGGAGCCTACAAACCAATTTCCACATTATCTGTATTAATTTGTAGCTCTGCTAGCAGTAAGTAAGCATTCTTCTTTCCCCGTATCCTCTTGAACATCTGTCGTTAGATTCCTTATCCCACCCCCCTCATGTTTTGAGACAGGGTCTCACTATATAGTTCTAGAACTCATGATGTAGACAAACCTGGCCTTGAACTTACACAGAGAGATCTGCCTGCCTCTGCCTCGGAAGTGCTGGTATTAAAGGCACCGTTAAGCCTGGCTAGTCACATTTCTTCTTAATAGTCCTCTGACCGGGAGGAAATTGTGTCTCAAAGTCATTTTAATTGCATTTTCCCGATGACTCGGGAGCATTGGGGACTTCTAGAAGTACTGACTGAAGACTTGGAAAGATGGCTCAGTGATTCAGAGCACTGGCTGCTTTTCCAGAGGATAGGTTTGGATTCCCAGCACCCACAGTACAGCTAAGAACTCCTTGTATTGCTAATTCTCGGAAATTTAATGCTGTCTTCTGGTGTCTGTTAGCACTAAACACAGATAGTATACAAACAAATATTCGGACAAAGCACTCATACATATAAAATGATCATAAATCAAATGTCAAGGAAAACTAATATATGTGTATGTATATACATATGTTTATATATATATACATATACCTATATGTATATAAATATGTATGTACACATGCACACATACACATACATACATACATGCACATATTGGCCATTTGCGTTTTTTCTTTTGAAAACTGTTCATTTTTTTAGGCCAGTTGTTGACTGGCAGCTTGGGTGTTTGTTTTTCAGTTATTTGTAAATTCAGGGTGTTAGCTCATGTCTGAACTGAAATGTAGCTGTGGGCTGTTTCTTCTGATAGATTCTGTTACTGTGGAGAAACCTTTCAATTTCACTCAGCCCCATCTGTCCTTGGGGCTAGTTCCTGTGCTGTCGGAGTTCTGTTCAGAAAGTCCTTGTCTGCAATAGCATCTCGGCTTTGCTGCTGTGCATTTGGAACACACTTTCTACGCTGGTGGCTTGTCAGATTTTTCTCCTCATTTTTCTTTCATCTATCAATCATAAACAGTACAAATTTAGTTGACTTAAAGTTCTAGTAAAAGGAAATCCAAGAGTGTAGAACAGACCTGGTCACTAATTGGAAGGCCTTGCGTTCTAGGGTGCACCCTGAGCACAAAAGGGAGCTGAAAACCCTGGGCCTCTAATGCTGTCACAATGACTCATTCCCATTAATCTACTTTCAAAGGCCTGCCACCACAACCTAAGCATGTCTTGAAGGCTGCACCTTTTGATACCAGTGCATTGGCAATTATCTTTCCTCTTCACAAAGTTAATTTTTAAACTACCATACAAAGAATGGGATTCATTGTGGCATTTTCACATATATATGTGTCATTAAACTTTGTTCTAATTTGTCTCTTTCCTTCACTGCCCTGTCCCCTGATGTCTTTGTGTTTCCCTTTCACCCATTCCATTACTATGTGCCACAACACGTGTCATTTGTTTGACTCCCTCTTAGTGTCTTGGGGCTTTCCAAACTTCTTTTTCAGGGTGAGGAGAGAGAGGACTGAATCCAGGGGCCTTGTGCATGTGAGGCTATTCATGCTAGACAAGTACATAACTTTTGTTTTCTCTTTTCTTTTTTCTTCCCCCTACCCCATCTCCCTTTTAGGGTTTC